TGACGCGTTCCTTGCCGTCCGGCGTGTCCAGCCCCCCCTGCGGGTGGCCGAGCGGCGTGTGGGCTCAGATCTGCGCTGCCGCTCGGGCCTGGGCCGAGGGTTCTGATAAAGCAGAGACGTCTTCGGGCATTAACGGGTCCCCTGCTCTGGGCCGGCCGCCCCGATTCTAGGCGTGAATAAACCGTGGCCTCAAGGCGGGAGAGCCGCAGCTGGTGACCCCGAACGGGCCCAAGGGTAAAAAGCAAGAGTCACGGGCGCCGTGTCGCTCGGCTGCCCTGCACTCCGAGCATCGGCCCCACCTGCAGCTCGGATGACCCAAGTCTCCTGCTGCTGCTCCGCTCTGTGCTCCTCTGGCTCCTGAGCCGCCGCTCACGTTCTCTCCGTGAGCCCCTCGGTGGTGCGGTCGTGGCTGTCTCGCGGGTCCTTCCACCAGGTCTCGGCCCCAGACCCACCTCTTGGCCGCACTCTACGGATGCAGCCCGTTCAGTCCTCATTCCCGCTGCCCTCTGCCTAGCGCCGTGAGGCCGAGGGAGCGGCCCGGTGTCCCCAGAGGGTCTGCCAGGTGCTTAGAGACGCCCGCCCTCCGGCCAGGGTGGATGGATCCGGGGGAGGACACCCAGCCCAAGCCAGGCCAAAGGAAGCCCTTCCCGGAGAATGTCAGGAAGCCGGCGCCCTCTGCCGTGGGGGCCACAGGAGAGGACGCTTCGGTGCGGGGTGGGGAGGGGGGCAGCGTGGTCTCCACGTGGAGAGAGAGACTGCGCCTCGGATACAGAATCAAGCAGAGACGAGACTCCCCCCCCTTTCTTGACTTAAAAATGGCATTAAAAAAAGGAATCAACTAGTAGAAAGAAAACAGAAATGCCCCCTAACACAAGACCCAGAAAACCCTTCTGACAGCAAGACCGTAATCCGTGCTTTTCAAATCTATTACACCGATCCTACGTCTTCCCCGCCGCAGACACGGAAACCTGTCCCCAGATAGCCCGGCGGCAGCACCCGCCATCCACTGACCAGCATCGACAAGCAGGGAAGCCCCCGGCCGGACTGTAGAGACGCAGGGTCCCCGCTGTCCCCAGACCTCGCAGGCAGCTTGGCACACAGCGCGTCCTTCATCAAAACGAGCTTCGGTGATTCTAATTCCGTTCTCGCCTAGGTCCGAACCATTTCTTTGCTCATAGAAGAAGGCAGTTTCCTGCTCTCCGGGTCCCGGGGGGACATTATTGGGATAGGTTCACGGGTCGGTGGTGTTGAGAACCAAGTAGTAAGGAGTCCAGGAGATGGTGGAATACAGAAAACTGGAAAAGCATAAAGCAGGAACCTGCAGAGTGGGAACGGAAGGTCTGAAGGACAGGAGCAAATTAACGGCATCGAGGTCAAGTCAAGTCAACCTAAACTCTGAGGGTAGGTACTGCCCCCCGCCCCGCCCCGTAATAAGCACCTTTTGTTCAGATCATAAAGTATATCTTCCCTACACGTGTAGACAGAAAACGTGTACAGGTAAGAAAGCAATAGTAAGCACTTGTGTGCCCACCACCCAGGCCAAGAGATAGAACGTAACTGTCCTCGGAAGCCACTCTGTGCCCTCCCTGATTGAACCCCCCCTTCTCGGCGGTAACCACTATCCTGCAGTTGGAATTATTCTGGTTTTCTTCCAGTCGCCACAACCTACGTGTCCCTGTGTTGGAACAGGGAAGGATGGAAGGGAACAGGGAACCTAGAAGAGTAATGTGTGTTTACAAAAAAAGTAGGGCTCCTGCTGGCTCCGGGGGCTAAGCGTCTGGCTTTTGACTTGGGTCCAGGTCATGATGTCACAGTTCGCGGGCTAGAGCCCCGCATCGGGCTGTGCGCTGACAGCACGGAGCCCGGAGCCTGCTTCAGATTCTGTGTCTCCCTCTCTCCCTGCTCCTTCCCTGCTCACACTCTGTCTCTGTCTCTGTCTCTGTCTCTGTCTCTCTCAAAAATAAAGGTTAAACAAAGTTCGTGCATTTAAAAAACAAAAAACTGTTGGTGACTTTTGCCAAATTGTTCACAAAAGCACGTGCCCACTGACACCCCTCAGGCCGACAGAGCACAAGAACGCTGTCTTACTCCTTCCCCAGGACAGCATAGCCTCAAACTAAAAAAAAAAAAAAAAAAAAA